AGGGTTCTGCAGTTGGTTTTGCAATCACTGAGATGCAGCCTTCCTGCAACAAAAACAGTTCCGTTAAATCAAACCTTAAGAGTGCAGACAGAGCTCAAAATCCAAATATGACACATCTCAGTGAAAGCAAAAAGAAAGCTGAGATCTCGAGACATTGAATCCTGACTATCAAATCTGTAACAAGTAGGCGGCACATAGAATGTAAGGTTTCAGAGTAGCAGCCGTGTTAGTCTGTATCCGCAAAAAGAACAGGAGTACTTGTGGCACCTTAGAGACTAACAAATTTATTAGAGCATAAGCTAATGTAAGTACTTCGTACAGTACTGGAAAGCTACATGAGAAATGAAAAAATACCATCTGAACATACTTGGCATCAGTGAGATGAAATTGGCAGGAAGTGGCAAGATGATGTTATAAAGAGGAACGCATGAAAGAGGAGGAGGAATGATGCTAAGTGACATCTCCGTGAAGACCTTGCTGGCTTGGGAACGAGTGAGTGACAGACTAGCAACATCTGGACTGCAAAGAAGACAAGTCAAGTGTACAATAATCCAGGGATGTGCAACAACAGACTCTGCAGGTGACAGTGAAAAGGGTACATCCTACAAGCAGGTGCAGCAAGTATTGGATGTCATGCTTAACCATGACATTATGCTGATGACAGGCAACTTCAGTGTAAAATCGGCAACAATTATGCTGATTTGGAAGGAGTCATGGACACAGCAGTGGAAGATATCCAAACTAATAATAGTGAACAGCTCTTGAATCTATGTGGCACAAACACCCAAGCAATAGGAGGCAATCTCTTCCAACACAAGAGGAGACACAAGTTCACATGGAGATCACCAGTCAATGTGACTTTCAATCAGATAGAGCATGTGTGTATATCTAAGAGATGTGTGTCTTTGAGGGGTATCAGAGTCAGCAGAGGAGCAGATGTTGGCTCAGATCATTCTTTTAGTGGCCACATTACAACTTAAACTCAAAAAGAGCACTAAGACAGATGAAAAGAATGTTATAGCAATAGAGGCAAAGGACAAAGAAAAACAGCTCAGATTCCAGATTGCCCGTAGCAACCTTTCCAGTGTTTTACAGGACTAGGCTGTTAGAAAGTCTGGAAGACAGATGGTCAAACTGGTAGAAGATGGTAGTTGAGACAGCAGAGGAAGTAGTAGACTTCCAAAGAAGGCGGAAGAAAGATGCTTGGATTACATCTGGAACTTGGGCAGTGACTGATGAATGAGAAGGCTAAGAGGCCTGCGAAGCAGCTCAGTGGGGAGACATCAAGCAGCTCTATACAATAGCACTATTGTAGCACATATCAAATGGAACATCACCCTCCTTTTGGTGACAGACAGATTCATGGTTGCCATAATGCTTATGCAAACCAGTATTCACTAAAGGTGCTATCCAATAAAAAGTTACCTTTTGGGGCCACCGTGCCATGAGCTTCTGGTAACTTATCCAGTTATACACTCACAGAGACTGTACCTTACTTGAGGAGGAGCTTCCATCTCAGAAGAGGCTTCCTAATGCATTTTTCAGGATTAAGCAACCATTCAAATCTATCCTCTTCCTGGGATGGGAAAAGACATGGAAGAATTGCAGACACTGCCTAGCCCTGGGGTCTTAAGAGTCATGTTGGGGGATGCATCAAACATGTTTGCTGTGCCTGCTGACATCCTAATGTAGGGAAGTGGGTTCTGCATAGAGTGCTTAGGAATAAGTGGACCATATTCTAGATTGCTGCATGCAGAAGATGGAATTTATGAAGCTCCTTGTTGCAGAGTGGTTTTATTTGCTTGCCTTTATGCAGAGGACCAATGTGTTCTCTGGCTCAGTAGAGATGTGTATTCATGCATGTTTTTGTTTATTTAGTGCATAGGTTATTATGATTATTTATATAGCCTAATAGGTGTGGGGTGGTGCTCTTTTATGGAGGTTTTGATTGTGACTCCATAGTTAAGGTTGCCTTCTCAAAGAGGCTGAAATTAGGGCATGCATTCCTGGGAGGGAAGATGGTTTCCTACATGTTGATCTTTCTGTTGTAAATTCTACAAAAAGTTTATTATGTCTTTTGAGTTTTCTATGTAGTTTTTGTTTAGCTTTGTGTAATAGATTATTAACTGGGAGTGTTTGCAATGGGTTTCTATCTGAAATCTGTGAGACTTTCTAGTTTTTTGTTGTAGATGTGCATCATTAAAACAATATGTATCTACACAAAATTGATCTTGAGTAGATATTGCAAAATGGGTAGTAAGAAAGAGCTATTTAAGGTTAACGGTCAATTTTTGCCAGTAACTGAAAGATTAAAAATTTATTCTTCAACAGAGACTGGCATATGCAGTCACTATCTCTGGAGATACTAATGAAGAATTGCCCTTGCAAAAAAGTTGCCTCCTCACATTGTTCTCAGTCAAACTGAAGCCATATGCTGCTCTTAGTTAATATGGTTGCCATTTCCCTTCAACCTGTGCAGGAGGAAGTTTGGACTGCTCTTAGTAAAGATGACCACCTCTATCCATTGTTCTCATTGCCATTGAGATCATCCTTTGAGGAAAATGATTGCCTTCCTCCATGCTGTCAGGTGGCACAGGGCCACTGTTAGGAGCAGGTGAATATGGAAGAGGCAAGCATGAGGGGGAAAATGGGGTGGGTATGTATGTGCACAAGGGAATTTTGCAGGCTAGGTTTTGGGGTCAAGGGAATAGGAGATGCAAGAGGGAAAATGTGTAGGGTAAAACAGTGGGGAAAAGGAAGGCAAATATGGAGGCGGCACATAGTGACAGACAATATGGAAGCAGAGAGAGAGAATGCAAATGGAGTGGAAGACTGCCTGAGATAGCAGGGAAGATTTGGGAAGACACTGGATAGCGATGAGTGAGGGGGATGGCAGCTCACTCACCATAGGGTTAAGTAGAGTCATTTCCCAACAGCCAAATGGAGAGGCTCAAATTTTTGCATTTATGGTTGAATTTAGAATGTCAAGTGATCACTCACAAATTGGATGTAGGCAGTTTCCCCTTAATGGCTCAAAAATTAGCAGGCAGATGAATTTTTCCCCACTAAAATCTCATTATATTTAAGCCCATTTCATGATTTGGGGGAACCAATTCCTGACTTTTGAATACATGTATTTGGCAATACTGCTTCTATGTCCCTCAATACAATTATCACTTCTCTTTAGTCCTAGCCTTCCTTCTTGTCCTAGCTGTTAAAAGGTGTAAGAATAGGGACAATCTGGTGGGCAGAGAGCCCTTAAAAAGTAGCACTCCCAGTTCCATTACAAAGCCAGCACCTCTGTCTGACAAACTCCCCATGGTTCAACACAGGGGGAATTCCTCTGTGGCTGCCCAAAGATCCCATCTTGTGGCTGGGGGGATCACTGGTGTGAAGAGAGAAATCGGGATCGTGTAGATTTGCATGGGGATGTGACATCCAGTGTTAAACTCTTTTTCTAAAATATGGAAGTTCACCAGCATTGTTAAGGTTGCTTCACAGGAAATGAAAAGTCAAGTTTCCTATATGCTTTCTAATCTTCCACTCAATCATACACCTTACCACTTCCACAATTACTGTACATCACAAACGACGTTAATTTTGTCCCGCTAGTAATGCCAGCCTTCCAGCACCTCCTTACCAGACTAACCCCTCGCAACACACCAAACTATTGCACTAAATCTGCACAACTAATAACATTTGGGGGGAAAGGGGATATTCTGATGAAGGGTGTGTGCCAGAGAGAAGGCTGAAGGATAGTCTGGTGTGTTTGGAATGGGTAGTCTGGTAAAGGAAGCATTGAAATGCTCACATCCCTAGAGGAGCAGAGTTAAAGTTATGAACTGTGGTGTACATTAGTTGTGATACTGGTAAGATAAAATTATAAACTTTATTTTTTAATAATGTACTGGGTTCCAAAGCTATTAATTTAGGTGGTCTTCACATGATCACTACTAGCAGGCTTAGTGAAGTGATACTAATAACTGTTACTGATTTGGTTGTGTTCCGTCCTCTGTCTTTTCATTACCTTCTTTTATTACTCCATTCCTTCAATTTAAGGACAACCACTTATGGAGAAATCTTTTTCTTGTACTTTGGATTTAGAAATTCATTTTTTCATGGTGCTCCTGATCATATTATAATGACAGCTGAACTAATATTTTGACACAGAATTTTGTTTTTATTTTTGTGGTGTGTGTGTGTGTGTGTGTGTGTGTGTGTGTGTGTGTGTAAAATGTTTTTTTACACAAGAGTATACCACAGTGGGGCTGTCCTGTTTTGTTTTTCATCAGAGACATAGGAATTGCTGTATCCAACCAGACCAGTGGTCTGTCTGTCCAGTATCCTGCCTTTGACAATGGCTTCAGATACTAGTCCAAAAAATCCCTCCCTCAAAAAATCATCACGTGGGCAATTACTGAATAATTTGCCCATAAGGGCTATTTCTTTGAAACTATATTAGCCAGAAGTTGGCGTGCTCTGAAGCATGAGATTCCACACAACTTCCAAACTCTAGTTTTTAAAAATTCTTTCTGATGTAATTCTCAATGTTCTCATTATCCATGTAAATGTCCAATCCTTTTTATAGTTGAATTGCATCAGATGTACAAGAAATATATAAATGCCTTTAATGTTTCTCTTTAGGAGAAATCATTCCTATGTTTATATTTATAGAAAATTATATACCATTTTGTCACACTTAGAAAAAAAATCTGATATCAATATATTTTAAAGAAGGCTAAAGGTGTGTCTGTATTTTGCCTCCGAATCTCAATATTAAACCTGCTTCTATATGCTGATATAAAAGGAAGGAAAATTTGAAATTTTATTGGAAAGAAACTTCCCTTAGTGCTGATCAGAAAGAGTTATAAAGATATTATTTCAAAGCATTGGCAATTCCTAGTGGGAGAAAATTAAGGTTGTTTGTGATTATAAATTCCAAAAAAAGATCAACTAAAACCAAAATAGTCATTTTTTTAATGTGACTGAATTTGTTTCAGCTGGAGTGACAGCGGAAGCCATTCAAACTGGTAGTGCAAGTCCAGATTCATCAGGGTCAGAAGTCAAAGTTCAGGAAGAAGAGCATGATCTTGTTGATGATGACATCACAGCAGGTGAGCATGAATATATTTAATAATACCACTACATTCCTATTGTTGTCCCATTCCTTTTAAATCCTTTAGGCTAGTGTCTGCTTGGAGGGAAAATGAATTTGAGCAAAACTATTTAAGAACCCTTTCCCAAGAAAGATAAATTGAATGTGTATTTTTAATATGTTGTATATTTGTGAATTGGATCTAGTGATCTTTTATATTTAACATAGAATCTGAAATTATGAATTAGGATAAAATTTACTGTCAAGCAACAATTATCCTGAAGGACAAAGTACTTGGTTACAAGTATTGCTAAAAAGAAAGTTTGTGTTGCATGAGGAAGATCATTGCATAAGACAAACTTTAATATTACAGGCTGAAAATTTGCATACATTGCTTCCAGGGATGGGGTACATGTTGATTATGCCCTGACAATGTTAACTTCAACTTTGAGTGACGGTCCCTATGTATATTCCACATGAGTACTCATACATGCCATGCACCCCAGTTTGGAAATTCTTCAAAGCAGTGTCCATTGACACACACATACGCAGTAGCTTCCCTCGTACTCCCAACCGAGTATTGGTCGATGCCTCCCCAGTTCCTTCTTACTGCCGCATGTCCTAAGTTGGAATCATGTCCTCCTTCACTCTATGCATAACCTGTATAAAGTAAGATGTTTGTACATAGTTTTATATCTTAGCTTATTAGTTATTGTATAGTATTGTTCCCCCCACCTCCCACCTAGTCCCAGTAGGAGGAAATCCTCTCTGGTCCTGGAAGATGGTTGAGAAGCTATGCTTACCATCCCTTCAGATATGACCCTCCCCCCCGGGGATAGTTGGTACCGATTTCCCTTGGGGGCCGCCACGACTAATGGATCCCTCTATATTGGGGCCCTTGGGATCTGTGTGGCAGGTGCCCAAACCCCTGTCAGGAGTCGTACCACTCCTCCCCCTCTCGTCAGATGATTCCATCCGTGTATAAGCAGGAAGAGCTGGAACCAGTTCCATTTGTACCAACAGTTCCGATGGGTGCCTTTTCATAATTTCCAGATGACGACATTGCTCCTGCATCAGATGGCCACCATCAATATCAGGAGCTGTTGTAAGGAATTTCTTAACAATTTGCAGATCCCATTAGAAGAGGTCCAGGACCCTTAACACCATCTCTTGGACAATTTGCAACCACAGGGACCGACCAGGGTGGCCCTTCCAATTAACACGTCTAAATTAGTACTGACCTTAGCAGTTTGGCACACACCAACATCTTGTGACTGTATACCTGCCCCCCCCCCAAATTATTTTATTCCTACCAAAGGAGCTGACTTTTTTCCCATCCTGCCCCAATTTGTTGGCAATACAGGCAGCTATGAAAAGAGCTTGGTTGCACTACCAGAATTCATCCCAACAGATAAGGGCTCAAAGAGACTGGACGTCCTGGGTAGGAAGGTCTTCTCTTCTGCTGGTCTTCAATTTTGTATAGCTAATTATTAAGTTTTATTAGCAAAATATGAGGTTAGTGGCACAGTTGGTTCTCCAGGCTGCAATAGGTGCTGCAGATAGTGTCGAGAAGTTTGGCCACAGAACTGATCACATGAAGGGACTCGTGACTGTAGTCATCAGGCTTTCCTAGAGAGATCCAAAACACCATCCAAGACCTCTTCCTCAATGAATCCAACCTTCTAATGAAAAGATGAATGAATTCCTGCACTCTCTAAAAGACTCAAGATCCATTCTGAAATCCCTGGGGATTTACACCCCAGTCCCCCCAGAGGAAACACTAGAGACAGTCCTTTAGACCACAACCACCCCTGTGGCATGCTCCATATGTCCACCTGAGCCTCTGCATAAATGACAGAGAATTCAGGGGTCCCGTTTCGTGGCTCCCTTTACTGCCACAGCCTCCACTTACTCCCAACCACAGGCCAACAGTCATTTTTGACATGCAGGTCGAGATACCACCCTCAATGGCACCTACTTCTTCTCCTGTCATCTTTGGAGGCCATCTTACTTTCTTCACCCACAGCTGGAACAAGATCACCACAGATGGTTGGGTCCTGCAGATTATCCATCAGTGATATTCCATAAAGTTTCTTTTCTTCTCTCCTCACAAACCATCTTCCTGATCCCTCTTCGGGGAGGGCTCTCACCAATTGATCAACAGGAAACGGAATACCTTTTACGCTGGGGGACAATAGAACGTGTCCCACATCAGTATCAAGGCACAGGATTCTACGCTCCATATTTTCTAATCCCCAAAAAAGACGGAGGGTGGAGACCCATCCTGGACCTTCAGCAATTCAACATCCTTATTTGAAAGCTGAAATTCAGGATGATTGCGCTGGCATCTATAATCCCCTCCCTTCAGGAGGGAATATGGTTTGCAGCTCTTGACAGGAAGAATGCATATGTCCATATAGATGTTGACCCGTCTCACAGGAAGTTTCTGTGCTTCATTGGCCAAGAGCACTACCAGTTTCATGTCCTTACCTGAGGGCTCGCTACAGCCCCCAGGGTATTCACTAAAGTTTTCACTGTGGTAACAGCCCAGATGCAATGCCAGGGTTATACAGTATTTCCATACCTGGATGACTGGCTCCTAGTGGGCTGATCTCATCAGGAGGTCATGTCAGCAATGGGACCTCTTCAGCACCTTCTTTCTACTTTAGGTGTTAGTACATTTTGTTACCCGTCAAGGACAATAACTTTTATGGAAGCATGGCTGTACTCAGTCTCTGCAAGAGCATTTCTTTCCATAGATAGGTTTTACACAGTGAGCAACCTGATCTTTTGCATCACCCCCAAACTATGGTGCGCTGGTGTCTTTCTCTGTTAGACTACATGGCTGCATGCACCTACATGATGCCGTTCACCAGATTCCACTTGCAGTGCCTGCAAGCTTGGCTCCATTCGACCTACCAACCACACAGGGATCGCATTGACTCCAAGGTCACAGTTCCCACCAGAGTTATGACCTCCCTTGCTTGGTGGTCTAACCCAAACAAATTCATGGTGGAACTCCCTTCAACCCTCCCATACCAAGGGCCACCATCCTGACAGATGCCTCCCTTACAGGGTAGGGTGTTCACCTGGACTACCACAATGCTCAGGGCACCTGGACCCTGTGTGCATTCATACAACGTACAGTCAATCTATGGAACTCCTTGCCAGAGGATGTTTTGAAGGCCAAGACTATAACAGGGTTCAAAAAAGAACTAGATACATTCATGGAGGATAGGTCCATCAATGGCTATTAGCCAGGATGGGCAGGGATGGTATTCCTAGTCTCTGTTTGCCAGAAGCTGTGAATGGGATGGATCATTTGATGATTACCTGTTCTGTTAATTCCCTCTGGGGCACCTGGCATTGGCCACTGTGGGAAGACAGGATACTGGGCTAGATGAACCTTTGGTCTGACCCAGTATGGCCGTTCTTATATTTTTAAAAGAGGCCGGGCTACACATAAACTTACTGGAACTGAGAGCAGTCCACCTTGCGTGCAAGGCCTTCCTTTCCCTCATACGCTTACTCCATGTAAAAATAGCGTCAGACAATATCACCACAGTGGTCTATATAAACAAACAGGGAGGAGAAAGATCTCATCCCCTCTACCTGGAAACAGTTAGACTTTGGAGGTGATGTATCAGAAACCACATTACGATACAAGCTGCATACCTCCCGGGTATTTACAACTTCCTGTCAGACAGGTTAAGCAGAAGCTTCTCTGACCACAAATGGGAGCTCCACCACACAGTTCTAACCAACATATTAGCACAATGGGGTATTCCACTAAGGGACCTCTTTGCACCTCAGACAAACAGAAAGCTTTCCATGTATTACTCCAGGAGAGCCACGGGCTGAAGTTCCCACGGTTATGCTCACCTGCTGTACTGGACAAATAACGTCAGATATACCTTTTGTCCCAACTACCACAGATTGAACAGAAGCTCCATGGCGACATAGCCACCATCCTCCTCTTAGCACCCTACTGGTCCAGACAGTTCTGGTTCACAGAATTCCTAAAGATGTCCACACACCTATCTATCAGGATCTGCCTATTTTAGGACCTCCTAATCCAGAATGGGGGAAAAATCAAGCACCCCAACCAAGGCTCACCCCACCTCACAGCCTGGTGTTTGGATGGGCGTCGGAAATAGAATGCTAATGCTCCACCCCGTTCTGGAAATCCTTAACCAAAGTGAAAAAGATTCTACTAGATCCTGCTACTTGGCTAAATGGCATCACTTTTTGGCCTGGGCACATCGCCACCAATATTCACTTGATACTGTGGGCATTCTAGTTATCCTAGACTATCTCCTTTCCTCAAATAGTTCACGTCTGGCCCCTAATTCGCTGTAGGGGCACCTAGCAGTGATTAATGCCTTCCTCTCTCTGGTTGAAGGATGTTTTGTCTTTACATACCTGGCTACTGTACGATTTATGAAGGGCTTGATCAGGACCTTCCCACCAATCATTAAACCTACACCTCAATGGGACTTTTACCTTGTTCTGTAAACACTCACAGGTCTGCTCTTTGAAACTATCACAATGTGGCAACATGACCCATGAAGGTGGTGTTTTTAGCGGCCATCACTTTGGCCAGAAGGGTCAGTAAGCAAGGAGCCATGATGGCAGACCCTCCTTATACAGTATTTCACAAAGAGAAGATCTCCCTTAGGTTACTTCCAAAATTCCTTCCCATGATTGTTTCTGAGTTCTACATCATTACACTTACCTGTATTTTTCCTGAAACCCCATGCTTCTTCCAAAGACAGGAGACTTCACTCCCTCATCGTCAGGCCCTGGCATTCTACCTGCAAAGAATCAAACCCATTAGAAAATTTCCGAGACACTCTGTTGTCATAGCAGAAAGATTGTATGGGCAGCCCATATCCTCACAGAGGATTTCTAAGTGGGCTTCAGGATGCATCGTAGAATGCTACAAAAGAACAAACAGAACCCTCCTCCTGGGGGTATTATAGCTCACTCCATGTGGTCACAGGTGGCCTTCACAGCATC